GACGGTCGACCTCTTTCCGCCTAACACCACCTAAACAAGCCAACAACGGTACTAGAGCTCACCTCACAGAAACATCCTTCAGTGGACGAATCAAACAATCCAGGCTCCACAAAGTAAAGCAACCAGTAGAACTTTAAAAGCAGCTGCCCATTCATATCGGGAGAATTCCAAAAGACAAATCGATTTGCATCTCGTTGCGAGTGAAGTTATCAATATTTTCGAGGTTCGCGGCAAAGACGGCGCATGCGCTCCTGGAGTAGTCCGCGCTGCAAAATGTGGCCAATGCGGATTGGCTCAAAACGTGAACCTTCAACGGGCTTTTCGTCGAGTCTCTTCCTTCTCACCGGCCACCGCTTATGAAAAATTCAGGGAAATTTCTCTGATTAAAATATTCATTCGACAAAACTATTATGCAAACGCAATGGCAAGGATGGTTTATTTAAAATTTAAATTCGGGCCAAGAACATCTGAGGGGGAGCCATTTTGTACTTCAAGTTGTTGTTGTTGTTATTTTAAATTCTAATAGTTCGGCAAATAACAGTAATTCGAATAAAATATTGCAAACCGAACGGTAATTTAGATGTCATTCAAAACTATTGACGTAAGTTAAATCGGGCAATAAAAACGTGCAACTTGTTTTGCAATATTCCCGGGGGGAGCAACCTCGTCCCCAGGGCGGGGCTGGGGGGCAGGGGGGTACTGGACCAATCTTTGAGCATGGATGAGTCGCTGAGGGTTTGAAACCCTGACCCGGTTTAGGACAAAAAAATTGTAAAATAAATTAATACCCGGCTAAAGGCAACAAACCACAACTTTATTACCTTGTTTAGGACAAAGGAAAAATGAACGCTGTCCTGTTTTAAAGCCAGTATTGGCAATTGCAATAGCGCAAATTTACGTTATAGGCTTCTGTATACTTGGTGTACAAACAAAACTTATCTTGCAAATCCGTCAAATCAATCTTGCAGGAAATGCCTTGTTGACAGACTAGACTTACACAAAATTATACACCCTGTTTAGGACAGAGAGGTCAAAAGCCACACCTTGTCTAGCGGTACTTTCCTGTATAGGCCATAATTATAAGGGAGTACAACCCACGAGGGCCGACTACTCCACGCTACGCACGAATTTGCATATGTGAGCCACGCTTCATAAACTCATGTAACGAAGTAATAAGTAGTTGTGACCAACAGTAGATTTGCTGTTGTTGCTGTTTCTCTTTTCTTTTCTTTTTTTTTTTTGGGGGGGGGGGGGGGGGGGGGGGG